GTACAATTGCAGTAAGATTTCCCTACTCTTCTCCTCCAACTCCCTTCAAATAAGGACCAACATTCCATTAGCCTTACTTGCTGCCCCTGTGTGCTAGCTTTCTGTGTTTTGTGCACAAGTATCCATATCGTCCCTTTGCCTTGCAGCTATCTGCAGTTTTTATTCATTAAAATAATACTGTTCTTTTGTTCTCCCTTCCAAAATGAACAACTTTACATTTTCCCACTTTATATTTCATTCACCAACTTTTTGTCCACTTAACGTAACCTCTCAATATCTCCCTGTAAACTGTTTGGATCCCTCTCACAACCTGCCTTTTTTGTGTCATCTGCAAATCTGGCTACAGTACATTCACTTCCTTCCTCCAAGTCATTAATAGATGTTGCAAACAGTTGTGGCCCCAGCACTGATCCCTCTGGAACCCACTGGTTACAGGTCACCAACCTGAAAAAGAATCCCTTACCCCCACTTGCTGTTTCCTGCCCATGAACCAATCCTCTATCCATGCTAATCTACTACCTCCAACACTGTGGGCTGTTATAATTTAACCTATTGTGAGGTACCTTATCGAATGCCTGAAGTCCAAATGTAACACATCTACTAGTTTCCCCCATCCGCTCTGTTCAAGACTTCCTCAAAACACCAATAAATTAGTCAGACACAGTTTTCCTTTCATGAAGCTCTACTTGATTAGATTATGATTTTCCAAATGAGCTGCTATCACTTCCATAACGACTTTTCAAACAATAGATGTTAGGCTAATCTGCCTATGGTTACCAATTTTTTCCTCCCTCTCTGTTTTAATAAGGTTGTCACTTTGACAGTTTTGCAATCCTCTTGTACTTCTCCAGAATCCAAGGATTTTTGGAAAACTACAACTAATGCATCCTCTATCTCTGTAGCTATCTCTTAGGATCCTAGGATACAAGCCATCAGGGCCAGGGGACTTATCTGTCTTTAGCACCAATAATTTGTGTAATACTACCTTTTAGTGATGATCATGGTACTTAATTCCTCTATTGTGTTCTTTAGTGTTTGTAAAGTCAACATAGTCTTACCAGACTGGGTGCCGCCTCTTTAGAGAGAAATGGCTGGTGGTTTAACCTGGGGATCATCAAGCCTCAGGTGAGAAGAAAAATTCTTCATGTAACATCTGCTAATGCAGAATGAAACCCATACTGTTGGCATCACTGTTCATTGTAAATCAGTCATCCAGCCAACTGAATTAACCACAACCCACCTCCCCCCACTTTGGAATTAATGGGATAGTTGAAGTATCATCCACAATAAAGACTGATGCAAAATATCTGTTCAACTCTCACGTTTCTTTGTTCCCTCGTACCGTCTCCCCAGATTCATTTTCTAATGGTCCTATGTACACTTTGAACTCTCTCTTCTGTTTATATATTTAAAAAAGCTCTTATTGTCAGTTTTTATATTCTTCTCTATTGTAGGAGTTTATTTTCTCTCTTATTATCTTTTTAGTTCTCCTTTGCTAGATTCTGAATTTATCCCGGTTTTGGGGCTATCACTGAATTTTACCACCTAATATGCTTTTTCTTTCAACTTAATAATCTTCTTAACTTCCTTGGTTATTTATGATTGGGTATTCCTTTCTTAGAATCTTTTCTCCTCAATAGAATATATTTTTTTCTCAGAGTCATGAGTTAACTCCTTCAATGTCTGCCACTGTTTGCTTACTGTCTATGCTACTAATCTATCTGCTTTAGCTAACTATATCCTCATATCACTTTAACTCAATTTATTTAATTTAAACATTGTCATTTCTGACCCAAGCTTTTCATTCTCAAACTGAGCATTAAATTCTATCATCTTATGATCACTACTTCATAGTAGTGATTACTTCCTAATCAGACCATCCACATTTTCCTCCAGATAATTTATACATACTACAAACAACAAAGGACAAAAGACTGATCCCTGTGGAACATCACTTACCGGTCTCCATTCTGATAGACACCCTTCCACTGCTACCCTCTGTCTTCTATGACCAAGCCAGTTTTGTATCCATCTAGCCATCCCACCCTGAATCCCAAGTGATCTTAATTTTTGTACCCATCTAAAAGACCTAAGACTGATCCCTGTGGAACACCACTAGTTACTGGTCTCCATTCTACCACTGCCCTCTGTTTTCTATCCATCTAGCCAACCCACCCTGAATCCTATATGATTTTAGTTTTTGTACCAATCTGCCATGTGGGACTTTATCAAATGCCTTACTAAAGTCCACATAAACTACATCGACAGCCCTTCCCTCATCAATTATCTTTTTCACCTATTGAAAAAATTCAATCAGTTTGGTGAGACATAACCTTCCCCATATGAAAGCATGCTGCCTGTCGCTAAGTAGTCCATTTTCTTCCAAATGTGCATATATCTTGTCCCTCAGTATCTTCTCCGAGAGCTTCCCCACCACAGGCTCACCAGCCTTTAATTTCCCGGATTATCTCTGCTTCCTTTCTTAAACAAGGGAACAAAATTGGCTCATCTCCAGTCCTCTGGAACCTCAGCTGTGGTCAAGGAGGATGTGAAGATATCTGCTAATGCCCCAGCTATTTCTTCCCTTGCCTCTCACAGTAACATGGGATAGATCCCAACTGGCCCTGGGGATTTGTCTACCTTAATGCAATTTAGGATACCCGAAACTTCCTCCTTCAAAAAATTAACGTTCTGTGGAGTATTCACACACTCATTCCTGACCTGAACATCAGTCATGTCCTTCTCCATGGTGAAGTACTCATTAAGGATCCTTCCCACTTCCTGTGGTTCCATGCATAATTTCCTTCCTCTCTCCCTTGCTACCCTCTTTCTTCTAATATATGCATAAAAAGCCTTGCGATTCTCGTTGACCCTGTTTGCTAAAGACATTTCATGGCCCCTTTTAGCCTTCCTAATTCCGCGTTTAAGTTCTCTCCTAATTTTTCTACACTCTTCATTGGCTTCGTCAATTTGTAGCTGCCTTTACCAATCATATGCTTCCCTTTTCCTTTTGACTAAGTTTACAATTTCCCTGTCATTCATTGCTCCTGAATCCTGCCATTCCTATCTTTCGGTTTTACAGGGACATGCATATTCTGCACTTTAATCGACTTGGTCTTTAAAAGCCTCCCACATGCCAGACGTAGATTTGCCCTCAAATAACTGCCTCAATCCACATTCCCTAGTTCCTGTCTAATTTGGATGTAATTGGCCCTTGCCCAATTAAGCACCCTCACCCGAGGGCCATGCTTGTCCTTGTCCATGACTATTTGAATATGGAGTTATGGTCACCAAGCCCAAAATGCTCTCCTACTGAATCATCGATAACCTGTCCTGGCTCATTCCCTAATACCAGGTCTAATATGGCTTCCTGTCTAGTTGGATTGTCAACATACTGTCTCAAAAACCCCTCCTGGACACATCTAACAAATTGCTGTCAATCTGAGCCCCTGGTTCTAGGGGAATCCTAGTCAATAAGAGGAAAGTTGAAGTCACCTCCCACAACTACCCTGCTTTTCTCACACTTTTCCAGTATCTGACTACATATCTGTTCCTCTGTCTCCTGTGGGCTGTTGGGAGGTCTATAGAAAACGCCAAATATTGTGATTTCATCCTTCCTATTCCTGAGTTCCACCCACAATACCTCACTGCAAGATCACTCTGATATGTCCCCCCTCAACACAGTTGTGATGTGATCCCTAATCAGCAATGCAACACCCCCACCCCTTTTGTTTCCCTTTCTGTCCCTTCTAAAACAGCGATATCCTGGAATGTTAAGCTGCCAGCCCTGACCCTCCTTTAAACATGTCTCTGTAATGGCAATAACATCATAATTCCATACAATAATCCATGCTCTTAGTTCATCTGTCCTACCTGTTATATTTCTTGCATTGAAGTAAATGCAATCCCGTCCTCCAGTCCCTCTGAGCCCCACGACTTCCCTGTGCCTGCTCTTCCTCTGTGCTATACGTACCTCAGTCTCTCCTTGTCCCCAGTCCGTGCACTTACTGGCATGTTGTTCTGGTTCCCACAACCCTGCCACACGAGTCTAAACCCTCCTGAAGAGCTCTAGCAAACCTCCTGCCCAGGACATTTGTGTCTCTCCGGTTCAGGTACAACCCAACCTTCTTGCACAGGTCCGACCTTCCCCAGAAGACATCCCCGTGATCCATATATCTAAAGCCCTCCCTCCTACACCAGCTCTGTAGCCAGGTGTTCAACTGTACTCTCTCTCTGTTCCTAGCCTCATTATTACCTTGGTAGTCCTGCTTTTTAGCTCCCTACCTAACTCCCTGAATTGACCTCTTCCTTCTTCCTACCTGTGTCATTTGTGCCAATGTGGGCAATGACTTCTATCTGTTTTCCCTCCCATTTCAGGATGTCCTGTCTCCGCTCAGCAGCATCCAGGACATTGGTGATTCTTTGATCTCTAATCAGGAAATCCTTGGTTCCTTAACTGATTCCTTCCTTGTCTCATCTCAGTTCCTTATCAAGGCTTTCATCCTGGCCTGGGGGTTTCATAGCATTAATACTTGGCTTCTGTTCACCCTTAATCATTTTATCTAAGCAGTTCTGCATCAATTGCACTTTGCAAGTCTTTTTCTTGTATCCTGTCTGAGAGTTGGGAGAGGGCTTAGCAGAAAGTCCCTCGATATAGAAGTAGGATTTAAGCCTTGAATGGATTTGAGTATGAAGTATTACCACAGAAAAGTTTGAGGAAAAAAAGAGGGAACTTGTTCAGATTTCATCTGTGCTATAGGGGAGAAATGGGAGATCCAACAGTGTTGAGAGGACAATAGAATCAACAGCTAGAACAACAATGGGGTCTGTTATTGGAAAAAAATAAGAAACGCTGATTGAAGGTCATTGTTATCATTGGTAGTAAATCTGCACCAATTAATGCAACTTGCTAAATGGCATTTCAAAGGTCACAAAACACACTGCCAACGTTAATTTCCTTCTCTTTCAGAAACCCGTTACGTACTCTCTAAATGATTTACCTGGTAATATAGAGCGGAATACACTGTGACCATTGTGGCTAGCCTGACTTGTAGCTTGATAATAGGATGTCTTGGCATACTGACCGACCATTGTCTGATAAGTGGAGGATGAGGTGTTAACAAAGTTTGCTTTGGCTAGAGATTTTCTCAGAGGCATCTCAGTTCCAATTATTCCTCCTGTACCCAGCTTGAACTTTTTACATAAAAACCCAATTGGAGTTCGGGTTTTGGACTTAAACTGCTGGATCAACTGATTGTCTGACACCAGGAGTTGAATATCAGTGGTGTAGAAAACCTCATAGATGATGTAAATATGCTTAACATGATAAATCCAAGGCAGTTTGTGTGAGACCTTCAGCGTTTCAGGATTGATCATAAACAGTGAGACTTCCTTGTTGACATGTTTAACAATCAACTTGATGGATTTTAAAGCTCCTTCATCAATGACCAGTTCCTCGTGATCAAAGTCACTCGTACTATTCATTTGGCGCTCAATATTATTTTCCATCAGTTCTGTGCTTTCTGGATCAATATCAAACAATATTTCTTTCAGTGGCCCCAAGGGTATGAAACTCTTGCGTCGAAGTATTTTGCATCCTACGCTTTCTGACCGTTCCAAGAGCACATTCATCAGTTCGTACTGTTCAGCGTCTACGAGAAAGGGAACAGGGACTACCTGTACACCAAGGTATGCGGCGCATACCTAAAAGATAATCAGAAACACAAAAGGTGTATATCAGACAGTGGTATACTGATGACTGAGTTTTATCAGAATGTTATAGTGAAGTGTATTCAGCATGTGGGAGTGTCGCTGTGTTGAAACTTCACACTTGAATGTCTCCAATCAGATTTCCAGTCACAGCACCAAAACAGCTCTTACCAACGTTACAAATGACTTTCAGTGGGGACGCAGTGACATAGTGGTAATGTCACCGCACTAGTAATCCAGAATCTGAGGCTAATGCTTTGGGGGCATGGGCTTTAATCCCAGATGGTGGAATTTGAATTCAATTAAAAGCTGGAATTAAAAACAGCCTTGTAACCACTGTCAACGATCATAAATATGCCAAAAATACCTGTGGATGCTGGAGATCTGAAACAAAAATAGTAATAGCTAAAGAAACTCAGCATGTCTGGCCACATATGTGGAGAGAAAGCAGACTCAATGTTTCACGTCTAGTGAACCCTGAAGAACGGTCATTGACTTGAAACATTAACTCTGTTTTCTCTCCACAGATGTTGTCAGACCTGCTGAGTTCTCCAGCTATTTCTGTTTATGTGACATAAAAATGCATCTGGTTCTCTAATGCCTTTTGGGGCAGATAGATATCCGATGTCCTTACCCACTCTGGCCTATGCGTGACTCTTAACTGTCCTTTGGGCAATTAGGGTTGGGCATTAAATGTTGCCAGTCAGTGATATCTATATACCCATGTATGAATAAAAGAAAGGTGATTGTGACAAAGCTATATGTGATCTTGTTGGCCTATCTTTTGCTATTTTACTTATAAATTCTGTGTCTCGGTGCTTCTCTCCCTACACCTGATGAAGGAGCATCCCTCCGTAAGCTTGCGATTTCAAATAAACCTATTGAACTATAACCTGGTGACCTTGTCCATCCCAGTTCAACACTGGCACCTCCACATCTTTGATACCATGTCCACACCATCCTCCTAAACACAGACACCAGCTGGCTGGGACTGTTCTCATGTCATTTCAACTTACCAATAAAGAACAAGAGGAGGCCACTCAGCCCTTTAAGCCTGCTCCACCATTCAATAAAATCATGGCTGATCTGATTTTTACCTCAATCCACATTCCTGCATATCCCCGATAAACTTTCATCCCCTTGGTAATCAAGGATCTATCAAATTCTGTCATGAAAATGTTTAAAAATTCGACATCTACTGTCTTTTGAGGAAGGAAATTCCAAACACTCACAACTCTCTGCAATAAAAAAATGTTTTAAATGGGTGACCCCTTCTGTTTAAAAATGCCTCCAAGTTCTAGTTCTCCACAAAAGGAAACATTTTTTCCACATCCACCTGGTCAAGTCCTCTCAGGATCTCATATGTTTCAACTAAGTCACCTCCTACTCTTCTAAACACCAGAGGATAAAAATCGAGCTTCTCTACCATTTCCAGTTAGGCAATCCTCTCATTTCAGGTATTTGTCTTCCCAGACATTAACATCGTTCCGTAAGTACTGAAACCGGATGAATCACCTGGCATCAACCTAGGCACCAGAAAGACAACGGTAGAAACTGCCTTGTCAACGCTGCAAAGTCCTCCTCACTAACATCTGGGGGCTAGTGCCAAAATTGGGAGAGCTGTCTCACAGACTAATTAAGCAACACCCTGACACAGTCATACTCACGGAATCATACCTTACAGACAACGTCACCAACCCTATTTATGTCCTGTTAGGGAGGAGGGTTACTCCCCACCTACACGCACCTTTACTGGCTCCATCCCCGCCTCTTTGACATGTCTGTCTCCTCTCCACCTATCTTCTCCTCTATCCATCTTCTATCCGCCTCCCCTTCTCTCCCTATTTATTTCAGAACCCCCTTCCCCTCCCCCATTTCTGAAGAAGGGTCTAGGCCCGAAACGTCAGCCTTCCTGCTCCTCTGATACTGCTTGGCCTGCTGTGTTCATCCAGCTCTACACCTTGTTATCTCAGATTCTCCAGCATCTGCAGTTCCTACTATCTCGGATAACTATTTAGGAGATAGGACCACTCAAGGATAAATGAGGGAAATTGTGCTTGGAGGCAGAGGACGTGGGTGATATCCTAAAGGAGTACTTTGTGTCAGTATTCACCCAGGAGAAGGAGGAAGATGGTGAGATTAGTATGGAGCATGTTAACATGCTAGGGCATTTTGAGACCAAGAAAAAAGTGGTGTTGGGTCTCTTGAAGAGCATTAAGGTGGATAAGTCCCCAGGGCCCAATGCTCTCTACACCAGCTCTATGCCCCAGATTAATGAAAGAGGCAAGAGAAGAGATTGCTGGGGCCTTGACCTTGGCCTTTGTATCCTCACTAGCCACTGGAGAGTCCCAGACGACTGGCAAGTAGGTAACGTTGTTCCTCTGTTCAGGAAGGGAAATAGGGATAATCCAGGAAACTATAGACCGGTGAGTCTCAAATCAGTGGTTGGGAAGCTATAGGACAGAATTCTTAGGGATAGGATTTATGTACATTTGGAAAAGCATTGCCTGATGAAAAGCATGGCTTTGTGCAGAGCAGGTCATGTCTTACTAACTTAATTAAACTTTTCAAAGAGGTAACGAAGGTGATCAATGACGGTAGAGTAGTGGATATTGTCTACATGGATTTTAGTAAGGTTTTCAACAAGGTCCCTCATGGTAGGCTCATCCAGAAGATTAAGATGCTTGGGATCCATGGTGACTTGACCATGTGGATTCAGACTTGGCTTGACCATAGAAGGCAGAGGGTAGTGGTGGAAGGGTCTTTCTCTGACTGGAGGTCCACGACTAGTCGTGTTCCGCAGGGATCCATACTGGAACCTCTGCTGTTTGATATATATAAATGACTTGGATAAAAATGTAGATGGTTGGTTTAGAAGATCGGTGAAGTCGTGGATAGTGTAGAAGGTTGTCAAAGGATACAGCGAGATAGTTGCAGATATGGGCAGAGAAATGGCAGATGAAGTTTAATCCCAGTAAGTGTGAGGTGCTGCACTTTGGGAGATCAAATGTTAAGGAAAAATATACAGTTAATGGCAGGACCCAGACCAGCACTGATGTATAGAGGGATCTTGGGGTTCATGTCCCTAGCTCTCTGAAAGTGGCTACGCAAGTGGATAGGATGGCAAAGAAGGCATATGGCATGCTTGCCTTTATTGGCCGGGGTATTGAGTACAAGAGTCAGGATGTCATGTTGCAGCTTTATAAGACATTGGTTAAGCTGTATTTAGAGTATTGTGTTCATTTCTGGTTGCCACATTACAGGAAGGATGTGGAGGCTTTGGAGAGGGTACAGAAGAGGTTTACAGGATGCTGCCTGGATTAGAGGGTATGAGCTATAAGGAGAGGCTAGAAAAACTTGGGTTGTTTTCTCTGGAGCAGCAGAGGCTGAGGGGAGACTTGATAGAAGTCAACAAAATTAAGGTTGATGGTCAGAATCATTTTCCAAGAGTTGAAATATCTAATACGAAGGGGCTATGCATTTAAGTGAGGGGAGAAGGTTCAAAGGAGTCAAATGTCTCATCTAGACATTGCCCCTTGGGAATATCATCTAAAGGAGTAGTACTACTTTTCTACCTCAGCTGTGCAGGTTCTAAATTATCAGATTTATAATCCGACCCAGTACTGCGTAAGTATAAATTCATTTAAATTTTATTTCCAAATAAATATTACGAAGGCTGAAGCCATTGCTTTCAGTCTCCATTCCAAACTCCATCCCCTAAGTGGCAATTCCATTTCTCTCCCTAGTAACAGTCTAAGGATAAGCCAATTTGTTCACAACCTTTGGTTATTTAAACAATCACCTTAAATCTGAGTCCTCTGATTCTCATTCCTTTCACCAATTGGAACAGCTTTCCCTGTCTAGACAAGATATTGAATACTTCCATCAAATCTCCTCTCGAGCCTTCTCTCAAAGAAAACACTTCCTACATCTCCAATTTATCCTCATAAATGAAGTTCCTCATCTCTGGAATCATACTGATGAATCTCCTGTATGCTTTCTCTGATTCCTTCATACCCTTCCAAATTCAGCAATATCCCAGCTGAAACCAAACTAGTGTCATACAGATTGAGTTTAACATCCCTGTCCTTGTACTCTGCGGTTGCATTAATAAAACCTCTAAACTTTATTAACCACTTTCTTCTGCTTCCCTGCCACCTTAAATGACTTGTGCACATTGCATTTAAGATCTTCTGCTCCTTCCTCCTCTTTAGAATAGCATATTTTATTTTGTACTATCTCTCTATTGTTATAATCAAAGGTGAAGTTATTGACAGACAAGTCAGATGCCAGACTGAAACCTGGCTTGCTGGATCATATTATGTTGTGGCTTCAACAAAGTGATCATTCACTGTAACACAAGCACATAATGTTACAGATTTTACTTTAGTGACAAACAGAAGTTTACTAACAAAAGAAAAGAAGATAAAATGGAATAAACCAAACTATTTACTCATAATACAAATTCAAAGATTTTTAAGCACAGTTAAAGTATAAACCCATTAATCACAAGATACTGCTGAATTTCATCTACACGTTTTTTTATTTCAAGTTTCCAGCATCCACAGTATTATACTTTTATATTAGTTTTTGTATAGTACCCAAACACACCCCTGGTACAGTACTCAAATACCCACCTTGTATAGTACAAAAAAACGCTACTCACATTGTATTCACACCAAAGTCCCTGTCTCTAACACCTTGTTTGGTTTAAGTCACATGTGACCTTAGCTAATAGACAGGAATGGGAATAGACAGATACTTCTCATATAGCTACTATACACCTGAGTTTGAATGTACTCAGCTTTAAGATACATCTTCAGGGTTTTATCCCAACACTTCTGGTTTGGAACTAATATTACCTCTTTAAGCTAATCAAGTTTCACTATGTCCTACTGTTTTCGGGAGCACTACTCTATATAACCACTTCACAAAAAGACTTTACAGGACTGCCAAGAGTTCAAAGTAAAACTAAAAAGAAAACCTCTCTCTCT